CGTTTTGGATACGCACTGTAGTGTGAGGTCAAGTCTGGTTAATCGTTACTGGAAGTGTATGGAAAAAGAGTGAAAAAGTGAAAAAATGGGGTGGGAAAATTGTATAGGAGAGTATGTGTGTGTGTGTATGCGCCGCGCGCGTGTGTGTGTGTGGTGTGTGTGTGTGTGTGTGTAGTGTGCGTGCGTGTATGTCGTTACATTACAGAAGTAATAATGATAAAGTAATCGAAAGAAGCATCCGCCTCCAGCTCGACCTCGAAACCACTAGCATTTGCAGGATATGTAAATGCCGAGGTGAAGAGCATGGAGCGAGCGCCGTTCAAGCAGAGGATGAGCCAAATTAGGTTCTTCGTTGAGGGCTCAGTTTACATGTCTGCTTCGCTGGGTTTTGGGGGCTGCGGGGGGGAGGGAGGGGGGAGGTGGGGGGGGGGAGCAGAGGCGAGTAGGAACAGGGAATGGGCGTTGGGGGCTGGGGGTGGGGGGGGGAGGGGAGGAGCAGAGGCGAGTAGGAGCAGGGAATGGGCGTGGGGGGGGGATGGGGGGAGCAGAGGCGCAGGGAATAGGGGAGCAGGGAATGGGCGTAGGGGTCGTAGGGAGGGGTGTGGGGTGTGGAAGGAGAGGTGGGGAGAGGGGGATGAAGGCGAAGGGGGTGGGGGGGGCTATAGCGAGGGGAGGGATCCAGAGGGGTGGGTGATTGGGTAGGTAGGGGGAGGGGTGGGATGTGTGGGGGGGGAGGGGGAGATGTGGCTAGGTAGGGGAGGGGTGGGGTGGGATGTAGGGGAGGGAGTCGGATGTGGGTTCCCAAACACGTGCCTTCAAGCAACGCGAGTTTGTATGCCCAGGCTTAGCGGGGTGAGATGTGTGTCAGCCTGGACTAGGGAGAGAGGCCAGTCTATATTCAAATTTATGCATGCACGTGAATGGGCGAATGGGCGCCTGTAAGCGTGTCGGTCGGTAACGCTATTGAGCAGCGCCGCCTCGACCGTGTAAAGTATACTCCACGGCCTTCAAAGAGAAAACCATCGTTAATTAATGAATGAAACGATATCATAACACTCGTGCTCGTGTAATTGGCCTTCCCTCTCTCGGGTGAAGAGCGAGTGAACGGTTCGCTCCACAGAAGGACCGCCTGACAGAAGGGTAAGTGATTGACAGAGCTGTGGCTGTTTGACAGGAGACTGGCCCCTGATCGCCTCGCAGAAAGGTGACTGATGAATAGAGGTGTAACCGCCTGGCAGAAGGCTAACCGCTTGACAGGAGACCGACCCGCTGGCGGTTTGGCTTAAGATGAATTAATTGTTGCCGCCTGAAAGAAGAACATTTGACAGAAAAGAAAAAGACGTGACAAAAAAATGACAGATGAACAGCAGGCCGACTCATGGCCGCTTGACAAGACTGACCCCTAACCGCTTGACAAAAATGACACTGACCTTGACAAAAGACTGACCCCTAACCGCTTGACAAGAACACTGACTGCTGACAGCTTGACAAAAGACAGGCCTTTGACAAAAGACTGACTCCTGACCGCTTGACAGAAGACTGACTCCTGACAGCTCGACAAAAAAACAAACTCCTGACCGTTTGACAGAAGCCAGACCGACCGAAGAATGAGAGAAAGAGATTGGAGATTGGAGGTCGAGGGCGGTCGAGAGAGAGGGCGACGCGGAGAAACGCCCACAGACGTCGAGATCTATTTAAGTGGGCGCGAGGGGGGAAAAGTCGGGATATAAAACAGCTCCTCCGCCCAAGGGAGACGAGGGCGGGCGTGTCACCGCTCTGTAGATTTAGAGGGTAATATATCGACTCAGAACAAATGGATCTGTCGCGGGGAGAAGTGGCCGCTGCTGCTCGGGAGTTTCCTCGATCCTATTTTTATGCGCTGAGAGGAGGAGGGGAAGGGGAGGGGAGAAGGAGGAGGATGGGGAGGGGAAGGAGGGAGGAAGGGGAGGGAGGGAGGAGGAAAGGGGGAGGGAGAAGGAAGGAGAAGGGGAAGGGAGGGGAGGAGAAGGGCGGGGAGGAAGGGGGGAAGGGGAGGGGGAGAAGGAGGAATGGGAGGAGGAGGGAAGGAAGGAAGGGAGGGAGGAAGGGGAGGGGGAAGAGAGGGGAAGGGGGAAGAAGGAGGAAAAGGGGAGGGGGAAGGAGGGGGAAAGGGGCAGAGGGGAGATTATACGGGGAGGGGGGAGAAAATTTGGAGGGGAGGGAAGGAAGTGGAGGGGAGAGGAGAATCCAGAGGGGAGGAGGATACTTGAAAGAGGAGGGGGAGGGTTGGAAACGAAGGGAGGGGGGGGAGGGGAGGGGGAGGGGGGAAAAGGGGAGGAAAAGAGGCATGGAGGGGAGGAGAGGGAGAGCGCTGGATGAAAGGGGAGGGGGGAGGGAAGGAGAAGACGGGAGATGCATTGGCAGAGGAGATTATACGGGTCGAAGGGGAGAAGTTTGGGAGCGGGGTCAAGGCTAGTGGAGGGGAGGAGGCTAGAAGGGAGGGGAACATACGAAAGGTGGAGTTGGAGAACGAAAGGTTGGCGGAGGAGGGGAGGGGTGAGGCGAGAGAGGCGAGGGGAGGGGGGGGAGATGCATGAGAGGGGAGAAGACGGGAGAGGATGGAGAAGGGGAGGCTGAGGGGGGAGTGAAGAAGAGCATGGAAGGGGAGAATACTGAAGGAGGGAAGAAGTGTAGGGGGCGGGAGAGGAAAAGGAAGAAGGGGAGGGGTATAAGAGCCGAAGTGGAGAAGAAAGGACAAGATGGAGGAGAAAGGAGAGGAGAGGAGAAAGAGGAGGAGGGAATATAGTGAAAGACCGAAGGGAAAAGGCAAAGTGTGAAGAAAGCTGGAAGGGTGCAAGGGAAAAAAATAGTAGAAAAGGGGAAAGAGAGAGACGTAAAGGGTGGAAGAGCGAAAGGGAACGATTGGAGAAAGAGAATGAACAGAAAGACTGGAGGAAGCTAGAGGAAGAAGAAGTGAAGAGTGAAAGAAAGAGAGGCATAGGGAGGAAGTAGAAAAAAAAAAGAAGGCGAAAATGGAGTGAATGAGAAGGAAAAAAAAGAACTGGAACCTAGAAGAACAGAAGAACGAACGAAAGAAGAATAAAAAGAAAGGAGAGAGAAAAAAAAGACGACGAGAAAAAAGAAGATAGGAGGCCAGAAAAGAGAATAAGTGAAGAAGGGGAGAAGGCAAGAGGAATGAAAGAGGGAGGAGGAGGAGAGGACTGTCTTATATCTGATCTCCATGTACTCTGAAATTTCCATTTCGTCCTTGAAGTTTCTGGATTTATTTGGTTAGAGGAGTGTGTGGGGACTGGCTCGGAATTTATATATATATACATGCAGAGAGAGGGAGGGAGAGAGGGAGGAGGGATGAGAGAGAGGAGAAAGAGAGAGAAAGAGAGAGAGAAAAAGAGAGAGAGAGAAAGAGAGAGAGGAGAGAAGAGAAAGAGGAGAAGAGAGAAAGAGAGAAGAGAGAAAGAGAGAAAGAAGAAGAGAGAAGAGAGAGGGGAGAGAGGGAGAGAGGGGAGAGAGGAGAAGAGGGGAGAGAGGGGAGAGAGGAGAGAGAGAGAGAGAGAGAGAGAGAGAGAGAGAGAGAGAGAGAGAGAGAAGAGAGAGAGAAGAGAGAGAGAGAGAGAGAGAGAGAGAGAGGGGAGAGGGAGAGAGAAATTAAAAATCAAGATTTAGTTTTACTTCCATTTGTTACAGTGGATGTTCTTTACTGTGACATACTGTCTTGTTTTATTTTGTGCAAGGAATGGCCGGGTTACCATTCACTGGTTAGCGCGGGAGATGGAACGCAGGTCAACAAGATTGCAAGACGAGCACGTTCACCACTGCACTACACAGCAGACAAGGGAGAGAGAGAGAGAGAAACAGACAGACAGACAGATACAGAGACAGAGGCAGATGCAGAGACAGTGTGAGAAGAGTAAAGGAGAGAGAGAGAGAGACAGAAAGAGAAAGAGAAGAGAGTGGAAGAGAAAGGAAAGAAAAAAGAGAAAGAGAGAGAGAGAGAGAGAAAGAAAGAAAGAGAGAAGAACGAAAGAAAAGAGAAAGAGAGAGAGAGAAAGAGAAGAGAAGAGAAAGAGAGAGAGAAAAAAATGGAAAGAGAAAGAGTAAGAGAGAGAGATAGTTGCTATCATTCTACTTAATTTCTTCCCAAGGAGATTAATGGTTACAACGTCTGGCACGTAAAGAAAACCCTCTTTATGCAATATCATTAAAGAAAAGCAAGAAAATAGGTTTCGCAAAGTAATGGAAGATTTCTATGCTTTTTCTACAGACAAAATCTAAGAAAAATACATGATAAGCAAATCAGTATTCCTACAAGTTTTACCTTGACCACAGTAATTGCATATAGATTAAATACACTTACTATGTTTACCATTAACGTAACCAATTTTGACAAAATTCTCTCGGTAAGTACCATTAATATCATCCTTTAAGAAAAAAAAAAAAGTAAATATACGATTCAGATTTCAACCTAAAGACAATACAAGAAAACAAAATACGGGGAAATATTATCATTATATTTTTTAAACTTCATAAGGCCTGTTATCGTGGTCGTTCTGGTCAACATTGTTAAGTATCTATATTTAGAAGGTACATATTTGCATACATACCTGCTCAAATTAGGATCTGTATGTGATGGAGAGTGTTGGAGAGTTGGAGAGTTGGAGATTGTGGATGTGAGAGATGGGTAGATAGATGGATAAGTATATTGATAGTGAGACACCCAAAAGACACACATATACACATACATACATACACAAACACATACAAACACACAGACACACACACACACACACACACACACACACACACACACACACACACACCACACACACACACACACACACACACACACACACACACACACACACACACACACACACCACACACAAACACACACCACACACCCACACAGACATCAGACCCCCCCAAAAAAAAAAAAAAAATAATAATATAAAAAGACTTAAAACCATCTCTTTTTTTCCCCCCCCTCCCTCCCCCTCCTCCAGGTGGCCCCTCCCCGCGACCACAAGTTCTCCCTCCTCCGGACGTACTGGCTGGTGTGGGCGGTGCTGTTCCAGGCGGCCGTTCACGTCGACTGCCCGAAAGGGTTCACAGCGCGGTGAGTCTCTGTTTTCTTTTCTTGTTGTTTGTTGTTCGTTCTTCTTCTTCTTTGTTCTTCTTCTCCTGCTTCATCATCATTTTTTTTCTTTTTCTTTTTCGTCTCTTCTCCAGCTTCATCATCATTTTCTTCTTCATCTTCATCTTCATCTTCATCTTCATCTTCATCTTCATCTTCATCTTCATCTTCATCTTCATCTTCATCTTTCATCTTCATCTTCATCTTCATCTTCATCTTCATCTTCATCTCTTCATCTTCATCTTCATCTTCATCTTCATCTCATCTTCATCTTCATCTTCATCTTCATCTTCTTCATCTTCATCTTCATCTTCAATCTTCATCTCTCATCATCTTCACATCATCTTCATCATCATCTTCATCTTCATCTTCATCTTCATCTTCATCTTCATCATCATTCATCATCTTCATCTTCATCTTCATCTTCATCTTCATCTTCATTCATCATCTTCATCTTCATCTTCATCTTCATCTTCATCTTCATCTTCATCTTCATCTTCATCTTCATCTTCTCATCTTCATCTTCATCTTCATCTTCATCTTCATCTTCATCTTCATCTTCATCTTCATCTTCTTCATCTTCATCTTCATCTTCATCTGCATCTTCATCTTCATCTTCATCTTCATCTTCATCTCATCTCATCTTCATCTTCATCTTCATCTTCATCTTCATCTTCAGAATCTTCTCTTCGTCATCATCCTCTGAATCTGGATTCTTTTCATCTTTCTTCTCATCTTTATCTCTTTCTCCTCCTTCTTTTACCTCTTATTTTTGGTCTCCAATGCTTATCATGGATTTACCAAGTCTGTGTGTCTGTTAAATAGATTCCACAAGAGAATATCTAATAATTAGGTAAATACAAAGTCCTGTGAATAAATAGGTGAATAAATGGAATAATTAATAATTAAATAACAAAATAAATGAATAGGTAAATAGATAAATAAACAAGTAAATAAGTAATTAAGTATATAAGTAAGTGAATGAGTTGATAAATGATAAAAGAAATAGATTGACACTTTCTTTAATGCAGGACTAACCATCCCACAGCAAATGTTCTCCAGTGGGTGCATGTTCTGTGCCTGTTCATAATCTGTCACCGAAGACGAGGTGGTAGACAGAGGGAACTGCCCCGCACCGCCCTTTAAAGAGCCGATATTTCTCTTCCACAAGACAATGCTCATATCTCCGTTTATGTGCCGTGTAGTTTCGATAATCATCAAACTTTCTGGTGCGCCTGTAATACTCTGTGCATTCGATAATACATACCCCGTTGCTGTCTTTGTTATAAGTATAAGTATAACTCTATGTCATGTCAGTTCAGAATTTTCACTCGGCGAATGTTAAAATGTTCGTTTTTGCCTAACTTTTGACAAAGAAACAAAGAAAATAGGCCTGGCTATATGAGAAAAAAGTAAATACATATATCAGAAAGTACTCTAGTGTATTCCCAGCAACGTTAGAAGAGATAGGTTTCCGTCCCAATGGCCAACAGGATGGGACAAGTTTGCTTTAGTTTCCCCTCCGCTCGTTGACATAAGAGACCCATTTTCTTCCTCTAGGCAAAAGTAATTCTCACCGGGATGCTTTTGTTTTTTTTTCCTCTCTCACTCTTTTGTTTTTTGTTTTTATCTCTTAATGCGCGTCCTTTTCCTTCTTTTTTTCTCCTCTATTTTATGGAGTGTATGTAAAATTTAGGGAAAATGTCAAAAAGGGAGTTTAGAGGGAGGAGGTTGGCTAGATAACATGGATATTTCATCCGTGGCGCTTCGGGATGGGAAGTTTAATAGGCAAAAGAGTTCAGCGAGTTTGTGGAAATGACTTTAGTTTGTTCGAATTACCAGCGCACTTGTCTTGATGGTTCCTGCGTTTCGAGGCTAATGGTAATGGTGACCCCTCCGCTTCTGTGTCGCAGTTAACTATTTTTATGGCCCAGATTCGGTTTAATTTTCATTCTTTCCGAGACTTCGTTGATGCGATTTTCCTTCTTGTCCCGAGGGAAAAAATATATATAACGGGGATGCTGTTCGTTTTTTTTTTTTTTTTTTTTTTTTTTTTTCTTTTTTTTTTTTTTTTGGTCTTCCATTCTGCTCATAAACTGATGTTCGGATTTTTTGTTTGCAATAACTTCGTGCATTTCATTTATTTACGTTTGGTTTTGGCTGTAGTCCAAGGCTGAAATAAGTGCGCTTTTTTTTGCCAATCCTGGTGGCTTGACTCAGCCTCTTTGCCTCTATCTATGTCTGTCTGCCTCTCTGTCTGTCTGTCTGTTTCTCTCTCTCTCTCTCTCTCTCTCTCTCTCTCTCTCTCTCTCTCTCTCTCTCTCTCTCTCTCTCTCTCTCTATCTATCTATCTATCTATCTCTCTATCTCTCTCTCTCTCTCTCTCTCTCTCTCTCTCCTCTCCCCTCTCCTCTCCCTTCCCTCTCCCTCCTCTCCCTCCTCTCCCTCCCTCCCCCCTTTACCTTCCCACATCTCTATACATTCACCTACCTCCCCAACCTTTTATCTCCCCTCCCTCTACCCTCAACCAACCTCCCCACCTTCCCTCATTCTCGCTCCCCCCTCTCTTCCCCTTCCCCCACCCACACCTTCCCCCCCCCCTTTATTCACGATCACGCCTGACACCTCTTTCTCTCCGCAGATTCATGGCCAACATCTGGGCCATGTTCGCCGTGGTGTTCCTGGCCATCTACACTGCCAACCTGGCCGCCTTCATGATCACGCGAGAGGAATACCATGACTTTTCGGGCATCGAGGACCACAGGGTAAGGTGTCCTGGGGGAGGGGGAAGGGGGGGAAGGGTATGAGGGGGGAGGGGAGTGGCATGAGGGGAGAGGGAAGGGGGGGGGGGGAAAGGGAATGAGGGAGGGAAGAGGGGCATGAGGGGAGGGGAGGGAGGAGGACAGGAGGAGGGGATATGAAGGGGAAGGGGAGGGGCATGAGGTGAGGGAAGGGTATGAGGGAGGGGGGAGGGACAGGAGGGGTATACACAACACACCACGCGCGCGCACACACACACACACACACACACACACACACATATATATATATATATATATATATATATATATATATATATATATATGTATATATGTATATATGTGTGTGTGTGTGTGTGTGTGTGGTGTGTGTGTGTGTGTGTGTGTGTGTGTGTGTGTGTGTGTGTGTGTGCGTGTGTGTGTGTGTGTTATGTGTATGTGTGTTTTACTCACGGACGCCATCTGGGAATACGACAGAAGTATTCAGAAGATTCGAGATCTGAAATGACGATGAATTTACGAATCAAATTTGACTCCAGTTGATGGGCGGGATATGAATATGAAGATCAAAGTGTCATTTCTAAATTCAAAGAGACTGTGATAGAGCTGCCGTAATAAGATGAAATGAATAATATAATGGAAGTTATTCATGTGAAGTGGATTTACAGAATTTATGATTATGAGCATTTGATGAAGATGAAGGAGAAATAAGGAAGAGAAGAGATTTATAAAGGAATATATGAAATGATTTAAGTATTTGTAGATATAAAGAAAATAATGGTAGGTCAATATATGTGGTAAGTGTGTGCTTACATATCATATTTTTAAGACAAAAAAATGTCTGCTTTTGTGTTCATATAGTTTGAAGAACATATTATGCGATATTATTTTTTTCTGGTGTTTTCTTTTCTTTCCTTTCCTTTCCCTACGTATTTCATTATTGATTTTTAATTATTCACTGTTTTCTTTGCAATCCTTTCTTGTCATTTTTCACCTTTTCTCGAGTTTTCAATACTTTTGAAATGAAAATATGCTCTTTCTGTTTCTTTTTTTTTCAAAACTCGGTTATTTTATCTTTCTTGTTTTTATGTTAATTGCTTTGACCTGATCATTACGTTCCGTTAATTTTCCATTTTTTTCCTTCTCTTCACATTTTTCCTTCATTCATTTTCTTATGTATGAAGACTCCATTCCCCTTTCTCGTACATTCACATTGTTTGTGCCTTGAAGATATCATTTCTTATTTTTCTTTGGCTAAATCTTCCTTAGTGTTGCCTTGTCTTCATCATTTCATTTCAACGTCATAAGCACTCCACTCGAGTCTTGCATTTTGCTTCTTTGTTGGCTACTTTATCATTCCTCCGGGTTTTCTCCCTCTTTCATTCTTTTTTTCTTCTCTCTCTCTTCTTTCTTTCTCTCTCTCTCTCTCTATTTCTTTTTTCTATCTATCTGTCTGTCTTCTATCTTCTCTTTCTTCCTTTCTTTTCTTTCTTTTCTCTTTCTCTCTCTTTCTTTCTCTTTTCTCTTTCTCTTTCTCTTCTCTCTCTTCTCTTTCCTCTTTCTCTCTCTTCTCTTTCTCTCTCTCTCTCTCTCTCTCTCTCTCTCTCTCTCTCTCTCTCACTCTCACTCTCACTCATCACTCACTCACTCTCTCTCTCTCTCTCTCTCGCTCTCACTCTCACCCAATACACAACCAATCACAACTCACAACCCATTATATGCTTTTATCTCACCTCTTTCTCTCTCTCCCTTCCTCCTCAACTTCCCCACATCCCCTCCCCATCCACCTCCCTTGCACCCCCCCACATCCCCTCCTCCCCCCCTCCACCATCCCCCTTCCCCCCCACCATCCACCCTTCCCCTCCCCCATCCACCATCCACCCTTCCCCTCCTTCCCCCCTTCCCTCCACCATCCACCCTTCCCACCCATCCCCCCTTTTCCACCATCCCCCCATCCCCCTCCCCCCATCCCCTTCCCCCCCCTCCTCACCCCCTCCCCCCCTCCCCACCCCCTCACCCCCATCCCCCCTTCCCTTCCCCCCCCTCCTCCACCATCCCCCCTTCCCCCCAACACAGCTCCAGAACCCCTACGTGAAGAAACCCCCCTTCAAGTTCGGCTACGTGACGTACACCAACACGGAGACCATCCTGAACAAGCACCAGCCGGAGATGTTTCGTTACATGAGGGAGTATAGCAAGTCGAGTATCGCATCTGGGATCAAGGCTATCAAGAAAGAGTTATGATGATGAGAGTAATGTTTTAATAGATGATGATGAGAGATGGTTTAATAGATGATTGAGAGTAATGGTTTTAATAGTTTATGATGATGAGGATAATGGATATACAGATAAGATAGTGATAGTAGTAATGGTATGGATGTAGTAATATTAGTAGTTATAAATGATATGGTAATAGTAATGATAATGATGATAATAACAATGATAAGGATACTGATAGTAGTAGTTACAGTAATAGATATAGCAATAGTAGTAGTAATGATAACGATGATAACAATAATATGGATAGTAATAGTAGTAGTTATGGTAATAGGTATAGTAATAGTAATAGTAATGATAATGATGATAACAATAATATGGATAGTAATAGTAGTAGTTATGGTAATAGGTATAGTAATAGTAATAGTAATAATAATGATCATAATAACAAAATTGATCGTAATAATGATGATAAGAATATTGATAATAATAATAATAATGATAATAATTCTGATAAAAAAATGATAATAGCAATGATGATAGTGATAATAAGACCCTTTTTTAAGAATCACTGTCAAATTACTTTATTGTAGCATTGATTATTGGGATTGTGACTATAATAGTAATAGTAGTTTTAATACAAAAGGTAACGATGATGAATATTTGATTATCAAAATCATTATTGCATAATATTATAATCAAGACAGAAATACTATAATATAAGTAGTATAATACGCATGATGTATAATGACAATTTACAAAACTGGTGAAATAGAGATTACCTTTCAAAAATTATTGTTGCCAAGGGAAACTGAAATTAATTAAGTATTGCAAAACGAAGAGCGACATTTGAAGTAAATTGCAAACATGTAATTGTTTTCAGCCAACAGAGTTACTGAATATATGGGCTTGTGTTCTAAATACTGGTTAGCTGCCGTATTTCCTTATTTTGTTTATGATTATTCTTTCTTTCTTTTTAGTTCTTTTTTCTTCTTTTCTTTTTATTACCGCTTGTTACTTTTCACTTGAAAAGAAAAGAAGATTTATTTTTATTTCCTTCTTCTTTTCTTTTCTTTTTATTATCGTGTGTTGTTACTTCTCCCTTAAATTGAAAAGAAGAAGAACACGAACTACGCAAATTCTGCACTTGAAGAACGCCTGCGCATCCAGATCGTCAATTTTTAAAATAATTTCCTTTCTCTTCGCTAGAACGAGCCTTACATCGGGTCAACGAAGAACTACCCCGTGTTATTTCTGAAATGCTAAACCAGCCCTTACTTCGTCTTACATCGCAGAAGTATCCTGTGTTACTTCTTAAGGATTAAATCATCTTTTCGGTATTATCTCTTAAGGGTTAAACCATTTTCTTTTCGTTTTATTTCGTTCTATTACAAAAGACGATAAAAGAAATAGCGCCTTGGTCCTAACTCATTTCACTCGCCCTTACTTCGATGTGATAATGTTATCAAAGAGGTTCTTTATTATGAAATTGAAAATTGTTTGGAAGGTGGCACTTGTGATATACGGGAGGTATGAAGTCATTATTCAATTTAAAGATGTCTTCACTAATATTCATTGATGATATATGTGTAAATTCTTTCTATCTCTTCCCTTTCTTTCTTTTTATGTCTCTCTTTCTAATGTCTATCGGTCTTTCTTTCTTTCTTTCTTTCTTTCTTTCTTTCTTTCTTTCTTTCTTTCTCTTTCTTTCTTTCTTTCTCTCTTCTTTCTCTCTTTCTCTCTCTCTCTCTCTCTCTCTCTCTCTCTCTCTCTCTCTCTCTCTCTCTCTCTCTCTCTGTTATCCTAGACCGAAAATTGCATTTCCTAGATTAACTAGATTATAAGTGAACCAATAGATGGCGACCATTGTAACATTGATAATGATAATGATACTAATGTTTAGATAACAATGCTAATGTTTTCGTAATTGCAATATTTTAAATAATAATAATGATGATACTAATGATAATTATGTTGATAATGATAATGCTGTTATTCATATTGATGATAATGGCGATGGAAATGTTAATAATGAGGTTGACAATGATGATGATAAAGTAGTAGAAGTAGTATTGATAAGAGTTCTGGTGATGACAACTATGAGCAATAAAAAAACATTAGTACATCATGCAAACTATTCGTTTCCCAATTTGAAAAAGTAACAAGAGTACCATACATCATAAATGTCTATTTTCTTATACTTAATATAAAACAATGAATTCGTTTTTACCTTCTAGATGTTATATCTTCTTCTTCCCTTTCCCTGAACATCTTCAATTGTCGAAAAAAAATACCGTTTGTTGCTCCGCCCGTCTTCTTTAGTCTGAGCGCCGCCCGTTTGTTCAAGTTACCCCCGCAGATCCAACCTCCATTTTCTTCGCGAACCTGTTTTGTTTAATGTCTCGAAATCGAGGGCGGCATCACTCATATTTATCCGTAATCCTGATCTAAGGTGGAGATATTTTCCTGTTATTTCAAGGCTGGCCAGACTGGGAGGAGGAGGAGGAGGAGGGAGGAGGAGGAGGAGGAGGAGGAGGAGCGAGAGAGAGAGAAGGAGAAGGAGAAGAGAAGAAGAAGAAGAAGAAGAAGAAGAAGAAGAAGAAGAAGAAGAAGAAGAAGAGAAGAGAAGAGGAGCGAGGAGGAGGAGTAGGAGTGTAAGGAAGGAAGGGCTGGAGGAAAGGATGTCTTAGAAGTCTCTAAGGATTTTCGAGTGACAAAGCGAAAGAGGGAAAAGGGGAAAAGAAAAGAACGAGAAAGAGGCTTGTTTCTTTATCTCGCGTTTGAATATAAGATTATATGTGTGTGTGAATGTGAGTGTTTACACACAGAAAACACACACACACACACACAGATATTGATATATATATATATATATATATATATATATATATATATATATATATATATATATATATGTATGTATGTATATATGTATATGTATATATTACATATATTATATACATACATATATATATATATATATTATATATATATATATATATATATATATATGTATATGTATGTATATGTATATATGTATATATATATATATATATATATAATATATATATATATATATTATATATATATATGTATAATATAATATATATATATATATATATATATATATATATATATATATATATATATATATACATACACACACATGTCTAATTGTGGGTTTGCGTCAGTGTCTGTGTGTGCTTTGGTGCCCGTACTTGCCTGTGCGTTTGTGTTCGTGTCTGCCCGAGCACTTGTGTATGAATCCCCGACACGCAAAAAGTTGGCGATTCCCCGAGCAATGCGGGAGATCTCCATCAGAAGTTTTCCTCAGCTGATGCGTCTCTTCCGCTCCTTTTCTCTGTCTACAATAGCAAGGCGGAGAATCGCCGAACTGGACCCATTGTGCAGAGAAATACACGCTCGGTGATACGCGCTTGTTTGTGTCGTTTGGTGGTTTGGTTGTTTGCTTGCTTTCGTGGTGTTTTTTGCTTGTTTGTTTGCCTTCGTGGTGGTGTTTGTATGTTGATTCGTTGTTGTGGTTTATGGTTTCGAAATAATAGATTCCGAAAACGTCAAGATTTTGGAAGGATGATAGATATTGAATAAGAAATAGAAAAAAAAAAAAAAAACATAGCGTGGAGAGGATTAAAGGAGCGTGGATATTTTTCTAAGGCGAAGAAGCAATTTACTTCACGAAGAGAAGAAAAAGAAAGAAAACTTTGGTTCACGCTTTGATCCTTCCCTCTTTCTCTCGCCCCCTTTTGCTCCTATTTCTCCTCTGTTCCCATACCTTCCTATCTCCCTGTACGCTTTCCGACCATCTTCTTCATCTTTTTCGTTCCTCCACTTCCCTCCCTCACACTCGCTACTCACTTTTCATGTCCAGGGGCCTCGCTCTCTCCTTCTCTCCGTTCCTATCCCTCTTCTCTTTTTTCGTGCTCTCTATCATCCTTTACTTGCCATTTATTTGTATTTTTCCCCCTCCCTTCGCGCCAGCCTTTCACGAAACTATTCTCGTTGGGTTTTGCTTCATCTATCTTTCTTACTTTCTGTGTCTCTTTCTCGAGCTCACAGCTTCTTCCCTTCCCACTCTCCTTCTTCCTATCTTTCTATCTTTCCTCTCCCACCCTCATTCCTTCTTCACCTTCACCTTCTTCCCAATCCCCATTTCTCCTCTCTTCCTCCTCCTATTTCCCTTCCATTCTCTCCTCCTTTCCTGCCCTCCTATTTTCCGTATTTCCCCTCCTCCTACCCCCCATTACCCATTTCCCCTACTCCTACCCTCCCCATTCCCCTTTTCATTCCCCTCTTCCGCTTCCTTCCTTCCTTCCCCTCTCCTCCCTTATTTACCCCCCTCCCCTATCTCCCCTTCCTTGTTTCCCCTCCTTATGACTCCTCTCTCCCCTCCCTCCCTCCTTCCCCCTTCCCCCTTTCCCCCCCCCTCCCCCTCACCTGATGCACCCGTCACTCTGACCTCCTTCCTCTAAGCTCCGCCCACTCGCCGCCCACTTGAATACGTGCGGGCGTGAGGGCGTGCGGGCGTGCGAGACCACCTGTGAGCGACCGGTGCACGAGAGGCAATGGCAAATCGCGGATCCCGTCGTAAACACTCGTCGCCGTGTGTTCACAAAAGATTTTTCCGAGCGTTTGACATTACAGACCTTTCAAGTCTAAGTTCTTTGATCGACCGAGATTTTCCCGTGTTTTTTTTTTTTTTTTTTTTTATAGTTTTTTCTTTAGTTTTTTTTCTTTTTTTTTTAGTTTTTTCTTGTTTTTTTTTCTTTCTTTTTTTTTTTTTCTGATTTTTTTTTTTTTTTTTTTTGTTTTTTGTTGTTTGTTTTGTTTTGGTGTCTGTGTTGGTAATTCTCCTTCTCTTCTCGTCTCCTGTACTCCTATTTTGATTTATTGATTTTTTTAAAATTTTGTTTTTCTATTTTATTATTTTCTTTAACTATGGTAACTGTTGTTTGGTACTTCGTCTTCCCCTCTTCTCTTCTTCCAATCTTTTTCTTTATATTTGTTTTCCCTTTTCTCTGTATTTTAGTTTTGTGCTTCTGGCATTGCGTCCCTTGCTTCAAGTGCAAGAAGTGCCTAAAGTTTTGCGTTTGTTGTATTGATCTTTCCCTCTGTTTCTCTTCTGCTCTCTCTCTCTCTCTCTCTCTCTCTCTCTCTCTCTCTCTCTCTCTCTCTCTCTCTCTCTCTCTCTCTCTCTCTTCTCTCTCTCTCTCTCTCTCTCTCTCTCTCTCCTCTCTCTCTCTCTCTCTCTCTCTCTCTCTCCTCTCTCCTCCTCTCCTCTCTCTCTCTCCTCTCTCCTTCTCTCCACCCATCTCTTCTTCCCACCTTGCTTCTTCATTTCCCACCCTCCCCCCCCTCCCCTCACCTGACCCCTCTCCACCCACCCCCAGGGACCAGGACGCCTTCCTGTACGATGCCACGGTGCTGGACTACCTGGTGGGGCAGGACGACGAGTGCCAGCTGCTGACGGTTGGCACTTGGTATCACATGACCGGGTATGGCATCGCTTTCCCGAGAGGATCCAAGCACACGGCGCAGTTCAACGAGAGACTCATGTCGTACAAGGATAACGGTGAGTCTAACGGGAGAGGCTGTTGGTGTGTGTGTGGGTGGCGGTGAGTTTAACGGGAGACGCGGTTTTTGAGATTGACGGTGAGAAGTCACTTTTTCCTCTGGGTAACGTGAGTTAACTCGGTAACGGTGAGTTTAACGGGAGACACGGGGTATATAAGGATAACGGTGAGTATTCCCTTAACTCGGTAACAGTGAGTTTAACGGGAGACACGGGGTGTATAAGGATAACGGTGAGTTTAACCGGAGAGACGTTTGTTAGGTCTGTCACTTGGAAATTTTGGTAAAAATTTTTTTGTACGAATTTTTCAGATCGATAATAATCGTCAATTCGTCTGAGCGAATCACTTTCCGAGTCAGCTTGATGATCAGCGGCAGCAACTCAAGAGAAATCAAGAGCTATATTAGAGAATGTTTGTATTTATGTAAAATCAAATTGTTAAAAAAAATTATGGGAAAAAGTGCTAGTGTGACTGCACCTTTATGTGAGTGTAACCGGAACTGGAGTTTAAACGGGGAAAGAGACGGGCCTAAATATGAAGATAACGGTGAGTATTCCCTTATCTCGATAACGGTGAGTATTTACGGGAGACTCGGCTAAAAAAGATAACGGTGAGTAGTCCCTTATCTCGGTAACGCTGAGTTTAACGGGAGACACGGGGTGTATAATGATAACGGTGAGTATTGCCTTTTCTCTCGCGTAAATGTGAGGTGAACGGGAAATGCGTTCTACATAAGAGTAACGTAAGAATAGATAAACAGATGAATAAACAAACAAATCAGTAAATACAAAGAAGTAGGCATGCAAATCAAAACATGAATACGATAAGAAGGATAAAAAAAAGAAGAGAAAGGAAGATATCGAGTTAACGAAACCAATTGAATGTGAAGGGGAAAAAAATAGATAAGGAAAAAGCCCGCCAACAAAAAAAAAAAAAAAAAAATACTCCTGGCTTAAATTATTTTCGCGCGCGCCTTAACCCAAGGGGGGAGGGGGGGGGTATGGTAGGGCGCCCTCCTTCCCATAGGAGACGCACCACAATGTTTCCTTTCACTTTCGCCGGAGAGCCGAGAGAAAGAGGCAAGCGCGATGGCATGCGAAAGTGGACACAGCTGTTGCGAAGAGGGAGGAGTATAAAGAGAGAATTCAGAAATTGTCAGAACGCCCCGAGTGAGACCTGCGCTGGGATTATTAACCTTAATTTTTCGCCCTCGTCCCCCTTCTCCCCCACACAGCACACACAGCACACACACGCACCGGCAACACGCCACACGCACACGCCACCACACGCCACACGCACACGCACACACACACGACACAACGTCAACACGCAACACACACACAGCAACACACACACACACACAGCAACACAACACACAACGAGAGACACACAGCACTCCGCTTGTTCATCTTTCGTCTTCGTTCCTCCTCTCCTTTCCCTCCTTGTTCATCCCTCGCCCCTTCCACACCACACTTTATTCCTATATTCCTCCCTACCTAGACCTCTCCCTTCCCATCTTCCCTTTCCCTCCCATTCCCACCTCTCTTTCCCCTTCCATCCCCCTCCCTCGCCCCCTCCATCTCATCCCCCTCCCTTTCCCCTCTCTGACCTTCCCTTTCCCCTCCATCCCCCTCCCTTCCCACCTCTCTTCCCATTTCCCTTTCCCCTTTCTTACCCCTTCCCCTGTCCCCCCCTTACCCCCTGAGCCACGCTGAGACCGAGCGCCAACCCAAATAAATAAATAAATAAATGTTTCCGAAATTCGTTTTGTTTTTCAATTTTATCGCCCCAGACGCCCACGAAAGGGGAAAACTGGCATGAATTATTAACATATGTCTATGACCCGAGTTGTGCTTCCTCATGTTTGCGTCTTTATCATGGAATGTCGACTTAAATCCCTTTATACGGTCTTGACGTAACGTCGCAATCATTATAAAAAGCCTTATATAATATATTTGGTTTAAATGTTGCGTTTTTGTGTAGACCCATTAAAAAAAGGAAGAAGAAAAAAAATAGTACCCCCCACTTCACAAAAATATTATAAAAACTCTTTTTTCAACATCCGGGGATCGGATTTTCCCGTAATATTATAATACGTACTCCTACGGAGCGATGAACATAACTTCTTAGTTTAAATTAGAAGTAAAATTTGCACAACTGCTTAATGATATGCAGTTGCATACAAATTGACCAATGACAATAGCACATTGATGCGTGCAAGAGTTGCAGGAAAATAGTTTGAATTTTAAAAGGATCGCCGTAATATGTGTATGTATGTTTTTTGTTTGTTTTGGTTTTTATTTTTGCGTGAATTTAAGACGCATTCATATATGTTAGTTATCTCGAGTGCATGATTATCTTTAGGAAGTAAAGACCATTGTTGAATTAGAGCTTGATTTATGAGCTACAGAAAATCATGATAACAAAAAAAAAGAGAGTGAAATACCGATATTTATGTATCGTTTTTTTTCTTCTTCAAGATGTGATATTATAAAGATGATAAATACCCCCCCCCCCTAAAAAATATTATCAATTACCCGAAAATTCGTAAGAAAATATATAAAAGAATAATCTCTTAAACTCGAACGATCGGCCATTTTACAGGTTCTCTCGACCCTCTTAAGTTCAGCAGCAACTCAGGGTGGCGTATAAACTTAGTGTCCGTGAACTTAGCGTCGGCTTAAGGGAATAACATTGGAGGAAATGGGGGGGGGGGTATTGAGGGCATATGGGGAGGGAGGGGGGGTATTGATGCATGGGGGAGGACGGAGGGGGGAGTCACAAGAGGTACTATAGGGGAACTCCTCAAGTTTGGAAAGTCAAAGAGCGGATTGTTGATTTTGTAGGGTCTTTCTTTACTATTTTTTCTTAAATCTTGAATTTCTATTTGACGAAAGTGTCATTTCTTGGATCCTTTGTGATTATTTATATTTTAGAATTTCGAAATGTTTATCTTAAGCTTGTAAGCACGTACTATAGACTCCAATAACAAGGTAAATAACATAGCATTCAACCCTACTCGCAGGAGACTATATCTTATCTTAAAACTATAAGCATGTACTATAGACCTTCAATAAAAACCCTGCAAATGACATAGCATTCAACCCCACTCGCAGGAAACCTATAAACACCAAAACAAAACCCGATAAGATAACATGGCATTCAACCCCATTCGCAGGAAACTATAAACAAAACAAACCCGATAGATAACATGGCATTCATCCACTCGCAAACAATAAATCCAATAACAAAACCAATAGATAACATGGCATTGAACCCCACTCGCAGGAGACATGGAGAGGATACAAAGGTTCTGGCTGACGGGCGCCTGCAAACCCAAGAAACAAAACAAGAGAGCATCGGAACCCTTAGCACTGGAGCAGTTCTTGTCCGCATATCTCCTGCTGTTCTCCGGGGTCCTGCTGGCGCTGATCCTGCTCCTGCTGGAACACTTCTACTTCAAATACGTGAGACAACACTTAGCCAAGACGGATTCCGGAGGGTGTTGCGCACTCATCAGTCTGGTGAGTAAGAAAAACGCCGGTCAAGAGGTATTTGTTCATTTCGTCATGTTCTAAAGTGGTTTTGATAACATTTGGTATTGTAGTTGTTGGTATTCTGTGCTTGATAAGTGATGAGGATAATGATATAGACTGGTAATCAACACTGTATCCGATTCTTCGAGATCCTGTTTCTGGAGTATTGACTTTCTCTTCTTTAATCAAATGCGTTCGAACACCATAATAATTGCTACGATATGATTAATATAAACCTTTTGTGACATGATAGTAATAATTTCAAAAGAGCCATGAATTCAAAAGATGTAATATAGTCATGAAATCCAATGATATGCATGAGAGGCCAGTATTTACGGTAGGTAATTTCCCTCTGGGAGAAAAGGGGAAAGTAAATAGGCCATTTGACTCAAGTATTTGCATTTTCTGTTTTTGCAACTCAATTGCATTTTCTGCCAACTTATCGCCGGAAAATATGCTAATGCCTTTACATTTAACTCAGAACCTTATTGGGTTTTATGTGGTTTATACTTTTTATTCTTTTTTGGTCATTTTAGATTGCAGTTTCATTTAAGTCCGTTATTCAATTATCCGAAGAAACGTCGTGGATATATTTAGTTTTTCCGCCTCACCGATCGCCAACCCTCATTTGCGCCCTACTTCGAGCCCGGAACCGCCGATCGTACATTGCCACACTATTAGTCATGAATTACGTCTTCTGCGCCTCTAATGCTTAGTTTTACCCGCGAGAGCATTTTCAGTGACGTTTTCGTGGCCCACAACCTGACGGGTCCCCGCGCTCTTCCCGGATTGGGACGAAGCAACAAAAGCGCCGAGTGACCGAATTCCCAGCGGACAGGCGCGGCGGCGGGATTTAATCGCGAAACTCGATTCCACCTCTGTCGGCCGGGACGCCGGTTGCGAGCAAGTCGTTCTAGACCAGGATTTGGGATGTTACTGCAGTTCCAGCCTTCTTCATTTTTTCGCTTTTTATTAGTCTTCTGTCATTTTATTAAAATTCTGTTTATTTAAACTTATTCAAATTAAAATCTCACCATTCGCAAACAGCAAAACAGCACGCACGCACGCACGCGCCATCGACACGCACGGAACCAGACACGCAAGCCCGAAGTGCGCGTGCACACGCACCACCCGACACGCACGACACACAACACCGGCCACACCGCCCACGCCAACACCCCAGCAACGCCACCGCAATCCCGCAACCCACACACGCACCACACACACCAACACAACGGCAACACGCACAACAACAGCCGCATGACAAACACACACGCAACAACGACGCCACGCAGCACGCGACACGCGACAACACACACATCAACTACGCCACCACGGCAACGTCGAACACAGCACAAATACGCACACGACACACGCACAACACCGCACAACACAGCATAAACAGCACACATACACATACACGTAGCAACGTGAGACGTACAACGTACACGGTAAACGTACACGTCAACAGTACACGTACAGATACCAGCAAACACGACACACACACACAACACACCACCACCAAGACACACACACACACACTAATCCAACAAACCCACATACAAGCACTATCACACAGAACATGCAAACACAGCCAGGACACCACCACACCAGCACACAACAGTCACCACATACCAATGTTACAACGGGGCATGTTGGGGAGAAAGCCCTACAACGCACGGGACAATCGGTAGATGTCAGAAGCATTCCTCACCTAATTACCTTCATAACAAACCGCACCTGAGACGAATAAGCGTGACACGAAGAGAGGACGCACAGATGAAAATAAAGAATATGAAAAATATCGGATTGACCACGACGTTACCTTACTCGACTCTGTATTACTCTGTGGTAGGGTGTTCAGTATCAACATCAATAATCGTATCAAGTGTAGGTTCCGGGGGGTCAGTCTAGACTCCCGCCTCAAAGCAATGTCGAGCCGACGTATAGATTGTTTGACGAAGACTTTGTGGAAGGGATAAGGCCTTCCTTCTTCTTTTCCTTTTTCCTTGTTTCTTTGTTTTATTGGGTTCTAATTGTCCTTATTTCTTTTTCTATTTTGTTTTGTCTTGCGAGGTTTGATCTGTTATTCCGTGGTGTTGTTAACTCTCGATTTTCTTTGTTTATTGCTCAATGTTTCGTTATCCAGGTTTAAGAATAACTACACCATTGCTGATTGTCTATGCATCCAGTTAGAGTGGTTGTCATTGCTGGTAATATATTAAGTATTTCTGCTATCATTATTATTGTTAACAAACTCTTATCCCTTTGATTTAATAAGATAATTATGGTTTGCCGTCATTAGTGTTTATAATTATCATTATCATTTATCCTTACTCTCCATCACCACCCACCTATTGACATCTTTTCATCATTTTCATCAAACACTGTTATCATTACATCATTACCATGTCTTGATCATATATTCATCGGTCAGGATTATTATCCTCATTAATTATCACCGTCATTATCACTGTCGAGATACATCAATATCATAATCAAAACCATCATAATTACATCATTATCGATAATAATAAACATCCTTATTTTTAGAGATCAGTAACATCAGCAGCAGCATCACTGTCAGTATCATCGCTAATTATTCAGATAATTAAAATTGAAATAATTTCCAACATGTTCACAATTTTCATCGCACAACGAATCCTTTAGCTGACCCAATTTTCGGACAAATTCGAAAACTTTTGTCACTTTTTTCTCTTTTGTTCTCCATCTTTCTTTATTATTATTATTATCATTATTATTATAATCATTATTAAATATATTATCATTATTATTAGTATTGATATTAGTGTTTTATTATATGTCATCACTTTCATTATTATTTTAATTCATCCTTCTTTCCTCGTCCCTTCTCCCCAAGCCTCCCTCTCTATTTTCTCTCTCTTTTCTATTTTTTCCTTTTATTTCCTTTTTTTTTTTTTTTAGCGAAAATGCAGATGTGGCCCCATGACGTAATTCTCTCGTGACCACAAAGGACATTTTCAACTCAATCTGTGAAACTGTTGGAGGAATCGCTAAGGCAGTTTTCGATTGTGGGAGAGAAAGAGGAAGAAGAAGAGAGAGGGAGAGAGGGAGAGGAAGAGAGGAGAGGAAATGGAAGTAGAGAGAGGGAGAGGGGAGGTAGGGAGGGAAAGAGAGGAATGGAGGAAGAGGAAGAGAGAGGGAGAGGAGAAGAGAAGAGGGGAGGGAGGGAGGAAATGGAGGAAAGAGTAGAGAGAGGGAGAGAGGGGAGGGGAGAGGGAGGAGGGAGGAGAGGAAAAAGAGGGAAGAGTAAGAGAGGAGAGAGTAGAGAGAAGAGGAGAGGGAAGGAGGAGGGGGGAGGGAGGGGTGGGAGAGGGAAGGGGTGGGGGAGAGAAGAGGTAAGGAGGGAGAGGGAGAGGAAATGGAAGAAGAGAGGAGAGAGGGGAGAGAGGGAGGTGGGGGAAGGAAGGAGGTGGGGGAGGGAAGAGGGGGAGAGAGAAGGAGGTGGTGAGAGAAAGGGAGAGGGAAGGAAAAAGAATAAGAATAAGGGAGGGAATAGAGGGGGAGGAGGAAGGAGTATAGTAAGAGGGAGAGACAAGAGGGAGGGAGGAGAGAAGGAGAGAAAATAGATAATAAAGAACAGAGGGATATAGAGATAGAGAGATAATGAGATAGAGATATGAATAAGATGAAAGAATAAAATATCTAGAGAAAAAAAAGTCCATAAAGAGAAAACGCGAAAGACAACACCACACACCACACACACAACACACACACACACACACACACACACACACACACACACACACACACACACACACACACACACACACACACACACCACATATACACACAACACATACAGAGATCCTTTTACTTTCCCTCGTGGCACAAAACAGGCACCTGTCACTAAGAAGAGACAGAAATTAGACAGTCAGTGCTACCAATTTCAACCGCAAAGTTACCGTAGTTATTTAGAAACTGACATAATCATGTTGTGACTGTCATATCGGAATTTCAGACTGAAATCTTGAGACTGATATTTTCTCGAGTTCCATAAGACAAGTCAACGGCGGTCCCGGTTATGAAATATTTTGACGAATCTGACTTATTTACATTTTTTAAAATAAAAAACTGTATTCAGATTTGCAGGTCGAGCCAATTCTTAAACGAATTATAGTAATAATCATAATAGTAATGATAATGATGATGGTAACAGTGACAATAATGATGATGATAACAATAACAATAATGATGATGATAACAATAATAATAATGATGATGATAACAATAACAATAATGATGATGATAACAATAACAATAATGATGATAACAATAATGATAGCAATGATAACAGTAACATTAGCAGTAATGATAATGATAGAAATTATAATCGTGATAATAATAAATGTAATAATAACAAGAAGAAGCAGTATAGTAAGAGCAATAATGAAAATAATAATGACGAAAATAAGAATAATACTAGTAGCAGTAATAATAGTAGATAAGGTCTAAATAAAAGAAAACCGTATCGAAAAAGAATAAGAATTGGAAGAAGAATAAGAGGAATAACAAAAAGAAGGAAAGGAAGAACAAGAATGAGAACGAAAAACAAAAACAAGAAGGTAAAGAAGAAGAAGGAGATGAAGGAGAAGAAGAAGACGTAGACAAAGAAGGAGGAGGAGGGAGAGAAGAAGAAGAAGGAGATGAAGGAGAAGAAAAAGACGTATACAAGAAGAAAAGATGAAGAAAATGAAGACACTAGACAACAAAGAACTACGTACAACGATCAAAAATTACAGCCTAAAATCAACAAAAAAAAAAAAAAAACTACTAAACACGAAGCTTCCCCGAAAGTATACGGATTCGAAAGCCTCTTGACGAACGAAAAAAAAAAAAAAAAAAACAGGATCCAATAGCATTTACCGGGAATTCAGACCCGCCGAGAAGGGGATCCGATGTCGCCAGGTATTAGTGGTACTTGACTCCACATACC